CCACTCAGAAATGCAAATGAAATGTGGAATCGCTTAGCATTGCTGCTGATAAACTAGAATGGAAAGGCGCCTAATTCTCATTATGCACTGCTATCATTGAATGTTTTCAACTGCTAAACCTTCCGTTTTTCATGAATTATGGAGTGTTATTACAGTAGTGTGATAAGCATTGGATATTGGCAATAAATCATTGGTAATGAGATATCGGAAAAACTGGTGGTATACAACAAAAACAGAAGTTAAGCCGAACTAAGGGGCCGGTACAGACATCCTCTCACTGGTCAATACTCGATTCATCAGTAGTGCGCGTCAGCGATTCATGAGTAGTGCGCGATTGGACCTTTGAAGGTGTTCGCTCAAGGCCAGCCGCGTAATTAATAGTCGTCCTTCTTGTGCAAGTAGTGCAGCCCTCAGGCTAAGGAAATGTCCCGCACTCGCGACTCCACAGCGAGCGAGGAGCGTGCTACAGCCGCTGAAAGTTCTAGTTCTAACGCCGCTCAGTTGGACCGCCCACTTGCTAGATGCCCTCTGACGGAGGGCCGCTCAGTTGTTCTTTGTTGGGGACGGCGGGCATTAATCGGAATTGCATGTTCTTTCTACTGACCGCGCTCGTGGTATAATATTTACTAGGAGCATACAGACCCAACTGCAACCCTTCTCGCAAGGTAAAACGAGTAAAAACCACGGGTGGTGCAATTTTCTTGGTGTAAAAGCTCGCAAGGTAAGATGCACGCTACCGTGACCCTAAATTCGTACGACGAGTTTTTAAAAGTTCCTTTTGTTCAGGAGTTCCGTCTGTGTTTCTGTCGTTTTCCGTATTCTTTTTTTGCAATGGATGATTTCATTACTGGGAGATGCGAAAAAGCGATTTGTGAGCCAGGGGTTGCACAGAGACCGCAGGGCGGTGTGACTGTCAGGGAGCGATTTTGTTTATGGTGTTCTTGAGAACTCTTCTTGTTTTTTTTCCTTTTTGGTACTTATCAGCTACTGTTTCATGGTTGAACAGCAACTATCCACGACACTTAATCGCTGGAGTGTCTTCAAAGAAGCAGTGTACAGTCTTTTCAGAGGCCATCTCTCGCGCTTATCGGCTGCGCAGGTCCGCGGCCAACTTGCATGTGCCGTTTTCTTTATGCGAAATTACATGAAAACATGCACAAGTCTCCCCCTTCCTGTCAAGCGCGCTCAACATGGATGAGGTAGGCTGAGAGCAGTTGATAAAGATAGCAACAGAAAAGTAATGGGGTTGCGGGAAAACGCATTAACACGCCGACCTACAGCGAACCTCCATGCTTCTCGCCGATTCAGAGGGAAGTCCTTATATGGGACACTTCGAAAGTTTCCTTCAAGTTCTCCTGATAATCCCTGGTCAGCACCTTCGGTTGCACACTTGAACTAGATCATGTAGTCCCAAATTCTCAGGCGTTTTTCTACAGTTTTGCGTCTCAAATATTTCCCTCCACTGGTAGACTTCTACTGGATGTAACCAGTAGCGAGATCACTAATGTCTAGTCTTTTGCGACGTGTTGCAAACAGTGGACGTAACATTGCAAAAACGAATAGGTACATTTCGGCATCTGTCATATGTTCCT